ATGGAAACATTAACCATGATGCCTTTCACATGGTAACATTAAGATCTTCCTTGCACACTAACCTTCCCTATTCAACTATATAATCACTTAACATAAAAAGCACTTACTTTTGCTAACCTCCACCTTCACTCCTGCCTCTTGTAACTCATTTGCACTATACCTAAGCATATCAGATCCATCTTCTTTCAATTCATTCCTTCTCGGTTGGGTTGTTGGTAAGTAAAATAATCTGAGAAGATCTGTGAAATGCTTTATCTTGTGTTTAGGCTCTAACTCTTGCATGTTAAGACGGTTAAAATAGGAATATGTAAGCTCAAGAAATGAAGGGAGATCACCTCTACAATTATAAGGAAAGGCTATATTGTATAGCTCTTCAAGGAAAAAGAATGGAAGTTGATTCTCTAGTAAAAGTAAATAACCAAATATATCCTCCCCTAGCCGTGTTTGTGATAGTTTAGCATCGCCTTCCATGTGACGTCTATAGCGCATCATAAAGAGGTGAATGATGAAGGCAGAATCGACTAATATCAGTTTCACAAGATCCTCCTTGCTGGAGTTGATGCTCTCAAAATAAGAAGCACGGACATGTGGCTCAAATTGTTTTGCAAAGTTAACTAAACCGTCCAAGTCTATGTCTTTTGCAAATCTCTTAAACATTATTTCTTTGTGCCTCTCCATATCTCTCAGTCTCACATCCCCATGATGGAAAGGACCTATGGAAACAACCTTAGGAGCGTAGGCTTCCTTGTTTAGAAGACGGATAATTGGGGGCGCCTTGTAGATGCAACACAAACCTCACGAGAGACCATTTTCACCAAGCTCTGTCAATGCTTCTATGTCTATGCTGATCGTCTCATCTTCCGTCTATACATCAATTTAAATTGAAGGAAAGCAGAAATTGCACAATTAGCAAGGCAATGATGGTGGCCATAAATCTTGGGAAATATAAATGTTTCTTTTCTCAATAACTGAACCGTAATCTCATTACCATTTGTTAAAAATCAGAAAAGGATAAAACAAAGAAAAGCACAGGTGCATGTACTTGCAATCTGATAAGTATATATGTTTGGAAGGTGAAGCAAAATAAGGCTATAAAAAAAGTCTAATAATTGAGGCATTTAAACAGAAGCAACCTTAAAAAGAAAGTAAAGAAAACAACAAAAGGCTTGAGAATTGAAGAAAAAGAGTAGTAAAGTATGATGCGTACGTGTGGTTGTTGCAAGTCGGGAGGATGAATCTGATGCAGATTGAGACGAGATAAGTGGATGTAGCTCCACCATTTGTTGAGCGGTCTCATCAGAGGCCAACTCTGTGTGATTCATCTCAGTATCATGCATTGTATCTGCCATCTAAACTTAGTCAACAAACCGCAGATAGATAAGCGCCAGCAGATGTGAAGGAGGAGGAGAAAGTTGATCTACTCTGCTCTGCTCAGCAGCCCACACCAAAATATATAGGACGCACCACGTTGTGTGACTCAGCTGAAGCGGCGATCTCCTACTTCCTTGACTTGACTCTTAACATTTTGATTTGGCAGCTGCATTTATTAACGATATCCGTACCAAAGATGTTTGTTGGAAGCTGTTACTTTTGCATAATGGCTGCTTGAAGAAAAAATAAAAGAAAAGTTATTGTGAGGTCTCAAAAATACAAAAACGAATATAATTGATAGAAATCGCGGTATGAAACTATGAAATTTGTTGCCATTCCTTATGCGAGAATTTGTCATCCACATGTCATGGGATTTTTTTTTAATAATTACATTCCTTTATTTTGAAAAGTAAAAAATCATTAAATAAGTAAACTTTCATTATAAGTTTATTTTTTACGTTTGATATATTATTTTGTCAACTCACGTATTTAAATTTGTAAAAAATTATTTCATTAAGTAAACTTATCATTAAATGATTTTTAAACAACACCTATGTTTAAATGTGGGTATTTCATTCCAACATGTGAAATTTAACCATCAGTTCATAATAGTTGGATGAAAATATATCTTAAAAGTAGAAGAAAAGTTTGTGTTTTGTGACACTATTGATTTTAGGTAGCTTCATGTAGGTTTCAAAAATAGAAGATACATAATTATATAATTAAAGTAATATAGAGAGTAGTCAATGTATTTTTTAATTTTTTTACTCATATATATGTGTTTATTAAAGGACAATACTTATGTCAAATTCTTTATATTAATTATTTCAATTTCTCTAATTATACATTATCATGTGTACTAGTTTTGAAATATTAGCATTTAATTATAAATTTATATGAAACAAAAAAGACTACATGGTAAAATGTGATTTGGGAACTTGATATAATAAATACAAAATATTTGGAGAATTTAATATAATAAATACAAAATATTTGACTAAGTTAATAAGGTTTTTTTCCGACTAACAAGCGCTTGATTAAACTGGTAAGGGGTTCATTCAGCTTAACCAGTGGTCTCATGTTCGAGCCCTACTGTGTTAAAAATTGTTGGGAGAGCCTGCCACTCAAAGTAGTCCTACAAAGCTCAGTCCGGATTAGTTGATTGTTCAGATACCTGATAATAGGATCCAGAAAAAGTGCCGGATATGGAGTGACCCAAAAGGTTATTAAAAAATTTTTTTTCCTGTGTTAGAAAATGAGATTGAATGCGCGGTAACTACGTCCGACATTATATAAAATAGGACCAGAGAAGTATCAATAAAAATAATTAAAAATATTAAATTTTTCATAAAAATTAATGTAAACTTCCACCACGCAGTTGTCATCAGCAAATCAAGCAGCTATACTTATTGCTGTATTGCCAAGTATCTACACAGTGGTGATCTAAAGCAATCTGAGTTAATTCTCTAAACAAGTAATCAAAAGTCTCATACAAAGAGATTCTTGAATTCTCATTAGTATATTATTCCCATGAGAATATTCTCAGACAGGTTTCTTTCCTTTAACCCGGACGATATATCTTCTATCAAATGAGAGCATTATCAGAATATTCAAGGTTGGTGTTAGTGTATCCATTCTTCTTCCTCTCTTTTTTCTTGGGATTAAATTTAAATAATCTAAATTTATATTTGAACATTTTATATTTAATTTTTTTATTTTATATTTTACTCAAAAACATTTTGAGAACAGCAATTTTAAATGTAGAAAATATCTTTTTTTCTTTGGTGAAACTTTCTTCAGCCTTCAATTCAAAACTTAATGCCACTTAATGAAAATAACTCACTTTCTGTGCATTCATTGCGCTTAGCTCATGAAAATTCAAAGTTGTTGAAAGAAAGGAACGCGACCTGACACAGTTCATTATAATACGTTCCTCATTGGTAGTCATTCCTTTCAATGTAGGTGGAAGTCCTCGTCAATCTGAAGAGGTGGGGGCCATGATTAGTTAGTATCGCTAATTGCTATGAATTATAATGTAATCTTATTATAAATTTTATTTGATATATATATAGGTTGATTTTAAAAGCTAAATGGACCCAATATTTAATGGGAAAATGACATTGAGGTCCCATGGAGAACAAAATACATCAAATAGGTCTCTTGAAATTTGATAATTTTTTTGAAGTCCCAAAGGGACTTAGACGCAATTTTCAGAATCCACTAATTACTGTTTTGCCCTGCCCTTGCCATCAGAAAAAAAAGACGGGAGAATGAACTTCTGTGAGGATTTTCTGCGCTATATGCTTGAGGGAGAAGACATTGGGAAAGAGAGAAGGAGCCATTGATGATGAAATATCTTCTCCATTACCATTAGTGAATTCCATAGTGCTTCCATGTGAATCTTGACAAATTTTCAGGTGTGAAACTTTCTTTTCTCTCCTCTCCTATCTTTCTTGACAAATTGTGCATTTGTTTGGGAATGGGAAATCAAAAAATCATTTTTGCCTTTGGTATTTCAAAGCTTTGGTTTTTGGTTTAGGATTCACAAGTTAATAAATGGAAAAGCCGTGTTTTTGGTTGGTGTGTGTTGTGATTTAAGTTGGGTGTGTAGAATGATCATGGGTGCTCTGTTTTTGGGTTGTTTTTGGGTGGTTTTCCTCTGTTCTGGCGTTAGTTTAGTGGCAAAGGAAGAAAAAGATGAAGGTTAGTGAGGTAGAAACCCTTAGCACGAAATAGGATTGTGTTGTCAATCAAGCTGTGTTGTTGTCAATGTGTGCCGCAACACTTGTCAATCTAGCTCCTTAAGCTGTCAATGACAGTTGCGTGCTTCTTGATGCAGGTTTAAATTACTGATGGCGAGTACGTCTGGAAAACATCTATTTTGCTTTGTTCACATAGGGGGAAAGTTTATAAATGATGGAGAAGATAATATGAGATATGTGAGAGGTAGTGTAAGAACAACCAATGTAAAGGAGGGCACAAGTTATGAAGAATTGAAGGAAATTATATCATCAATTGCTGGAAAAGAAAGCAACTCATTTCTTCTAAAATTCTCAGTTGTGTTTGATAAAAAAACTTTTGTGGAGTTGGTAGATGATGATGGGGTGGAACATTTGATAAAGTTCAATGAAGAGAGTGGTCATGTGTGTATCGAAGAAAATGAAAATGAGGACCACATAGAAGCAACAAGGGATAATACAATGAAGGAGCAAGATGTGTAAGTATAGTTTAACAAAACTGTTATTGTGATTTCTGAGTATGTCAGTTGTTACTATATTGCTACTAACTTGTCAATGCATGCACCCTGACTTGTCATTTTCTGTAGGATTGATCAATTATTTGGAGGTGTCAATGAATTGTCTATGTCTCCACCTACCTTATTTGATGTGATTGGAGAGTCACAATCAATTCCTTGTGCTGTTGAAATGATCCTAACACCTACACCACAAATGAATTCCATAAAATGGAAGGATTTGATTATTGGAGAAGGACAAATATTTCCAAATGCCACTACTCTCCGAAAAACATTATACAAGTACAGCTTATGCCAGAAGTTTTTGTACCTTTTCATTAAGAATAATTAGCAAAAGATCATTGTGAAGTGCAAGGTCGATGGTTGTCCATGGTATATGGGTGCATATTCAATGGGAGCACATCAAGATACTGAGTTTTTAACTATCAGAACGTACAAAAGTGAACACATTCATCATGCACAGGACAACTTAATTGTTTCTCACTCAGGAAGGTCAAATTTAGCTGCATCAATTGTGATTGATGACTTGAGGTGCAATGTTGACAAGAGTCCTAATGAAATTAGAAAGGACTTGTATAAAGAATATGGAGTGCAATTGAACTATACTCAAGCATATAGGGTTAGGAAAAGAGCACTAATGGAATTACATGGTCAAGTAGAAGATTCTTATAAGGTAATCCCTTGGATGTGTGAGAGACTAATAGAAACTGATCCTGACACAGTTGCAAGATGGGAAGGCTCAGATAGCAACCGATTTGAGAGGCTATTCATTGCATATGGATGCTCAATTAAAGGCTTTGTGGAAGGTTGTAGACCAATTATTTATATAGATGGATGTCATTTGAGTGGTCTTTACAAAGGAACTTTATTATCAACTTGTGCATTTGATGCAGACAATGAGTTGTTTCTTTTAGCATATGGTATTGTTAGTGGAGAAACAAATGATGAATGGATTTGGTATCTATAGAATCTGAAAGAGATAACCAGATCAACACAAGTGACAATTGTCTCAGATCGGAGTAATGCTATTATCGGCGCTATCAGGACAGTATTTGATGGTGAGAGACATGCTTTTTGCTATCGACATGTGAAAGAAAATTATAACGTGCAGTATGTAAAAATCAATAGAGGTGTGAGATGGACCTCAGAAAATAACAAGGAGAATGCACTTAATTTACTTGATGGAATTGCATATGCAAGGCATAAGAATGAGTTTAATGTTGCAATGGGAAATTTAAGATTGTTTTGTCCTCAATTGGCACAATGGTTTGAATCTCATGGGGATGTAGATAGATGGGCGCAAAGTAAATTTTCTTTTAAGAGATGGGATAACATCACCAATAATCTTGCTGAGTCTTTTAATGCATGGATGTTGAAAGAAAGGAAGCACGCCTTGCCGGTTTTGATACAAGAGCATCAAGAGAAGTTGGCCAAGAAGATGGTTGCTAGCAAAACGGGGATGAGAAGCTGGAAAAATAGTGTAGGACCCAATATTGAATCAAAGTTGTCAGAACAAATAGCAAGAGGTGTATATATGGAGGCAACATATTATGGTGATGACCATATTTCGGTGCAGACAATACGTGAGGGACACATCATCTATGTTGTTTTGTTGATCTGATTTCTCACAGATACACATGTTTGGCGTGGCAAATGAGTGGAATACCTTGTCCACATGCTTGTACAGCAATCAAACTAGTTCATCGTAATGTGTATGATTATGCAGATGATTGTTACAAATTGTCCACACAGGAGAAAATATATGCAAATAGCATAAGGCCAATTGCAATGCATGATTGCCCACAGCCTGATACACCTACTGTGAGTCATATGCTAACCCAAACATTCTTACATCCACCAATAACCAAAAGGCCTCCAGGAAGGCCAAGGATTAATAGGATATAATCTCAATTTCAAAATAAGAAGGTTTATCATTGTGGAAGATGCAAAGAGCCTGGACACACTACCAAGACATGCAAGAACCCAAATTCCAGCTGAGAACATATTGAAGTTAGCTATTTTTTGTATATAGATGTGAAGAGAATATTTTGTAAATGGGTGTGAAGGAAATTTTTTGTAAATGGATGCACACCACTAGTTAGTTTCATTATTACATGCAACCCCTATGTTTTTTTTTGGGATGGTTGTGAAATAGGTGTAGTTTTATGTATATGAAGGTGTAAATGAAAGTTAGCTATGAATTGGCATGTTACATTGTACTGTCATTTTAGTTGTCATTACCTGCACCCTGAGTTGTCACTAGACCTGTTATGACTTGTCAATCATTGCACTATGACTTGTCAATGAATTTACTGATGTAAGTTGTCAACAACATGAATTCAAGTAACATAACCTTTTTTACCATGAAATGATATTTACAATTACTCTGTCATATTATATTTTGGTTGTATGGTCATATATAATCATTATTAATGAAGTGTCAAAAACTTACCTCTCCCTTGTCCCATGTCAGTGGTGGCTCTGTGACTTGTCAATGACAACACTGTGACATGTCAATGGAGCATTGTGTCTTGTCAATGACAACACTGTCCCTTGTCAATGGTTTATCCGGTGACTTGTCAATAGAGCACTGTGACTTGTCAATACAGCACTGTGACTTGTTAATGGCAACACTGTCCCTTGTCAATGGTTGCACTATGCCTTGTCAATGGGGCACTGTGACTTGTTTGTGAGAACACTGTCCCTTGTCAATGGTCGCTGTCAAGAGAGCATTGTGACTTGTCAATGGAGTACCATGACTTGTTAATAGTTGCACTATGACTTGTCAATAGGGCACTATGATTTGTCAATGGGGTACTGTGACTTGTCAATGGGGCACTGTGACTTGTTATGAAATTCTCATATCACTTGTCATTAACTCCTGTTATATTAGTTGTTATTTTGAATAACTCAGGTTGTTAATTTAAACGCAAGGTAACCAACCATAATATCTCTGCACATATAAAATAGAAATATAATTAAAAATGTAATAAAACCCTAACAAATTAGTATTACAATATGTGATGACAAAGATAATAATATTATAAATATAACCTGATCAGTTTGTTACAAAATGACCTATTTGCTAATCATCTTACAACACATACCATGGGCTAAGAGAACAAAAAATTCATAGACTACTCTATCTCCTCTTCTTGGTCTTGTTGTAGTCCGATAGCATCAACATCACTTCCCTCCCATGTTCATTATTTGGATGGGTAACCAACCACCACAAACAGCTAACCTTCAACTCTTGTAGTTCATCATTAGAGTATCGTGGCATTATATATCCTGCATCATCCCCAACGGTGCCATCCCACTCTTGTAGCCAAGAGATAACATGAACTCCACATGAATCACTACCAAGTAAATTGAATATATTAGCACCTTGCAATTGTTATTGTGAACAAAAACAACATAACACAATCGAACAGAACAACTACACTTACGTATCATTCTGCACATAGACTTTAGCCCATTTCACTTCGTTGTCAATTTTGTCCTCATTGACAAACAATTCTGGCTTAACAACACGTAGCATCGAATGGAAACAGTTCATCTGGAAAAAAAAAAAAACACACACACACGTAATGAAAAGGCATCACTAATAACACAGCATCCAGTAACAAGGCACAGAGCATCCAGTGACAAGAGACAGAGTATCCAGTAACAAGTAACACAGCATCCAGTGACAAGGGACAAAGCATCCAATGACCAAAAACACACCATCCACTGACAAGAGACAGAATATCCAGTGACAACTAACAGAGCATATAGTGACAAGGGACAGAACATCCAGTGACAACTAACAAAGCATCCAGTGACAACTACCAAAGCATGCAATGACAACTACCATAGCATCTAGTGACAACTAATAGAGTATCCCGTGACAACTAGCATAGCATCTAGTGACAACTACCACAGCATATAGTGACAAGGGACAGAGCATCTAGTGACAACTAACAGAGAATCTAGTGATAACTAACAGAGAATCTGGTGACAACTAACAGGGCATCCAGTGGCAACTAATATATCATCTAGTGACAAGTAACAGATCATCTAGTGACAACTAACAACTAATATATCATCCAGTGACAAGTAACAGATCATCTAGTGACAACTAACAACTAATATATCATCCAGTGACAAGTAACAGATCATCCAGTGACAACTAACAACTACTATATCATCCAGTGACAACTAACAACTAATATATCATCCAGTGACAAGTAACAGATCATCCAGTGACAAAAAGCACAGCATCCAGTGACAACTACCACAACATGTAGTGACAAGGGACAGAGCATCCAGTGACAACTAACATGGCATCTAGTGACAAGTAACAGATCATCCAGTGACAACTAGTATAGCATCCAGTGACAACTACCAGAGCATGCAATGACACCTATGCAGACTGCTAGTAACAATTATAATAGTCATTAACAAGTATAAAGTTGTAAATAACTACTCACAGTTTGTGTTGCCATGAACTCTTTGGGGTCAAACTGCCCTTTATTTGTCCTCTTTTTCTTCTTCTTTGCTTCATGTTGTTGCTCACCCCCCTTCTTCTTTGCTTCTTCTTCTTCTCGGCTTGTAATCTCGTGAATGTGATGCTATCAACCAACGAGTCAAGGGCGTGAAGGTCATGGTCTTTGTCTCGAAAACATAAAAAACCAATGATCTTCAAATAGAGTAGGACAAAAAATGAAATCGCAATCCCCAATATTGTATCCAATATATTCAGGTAATATTTCTCTTTCATGTCCTCCTATTTCCACCTTAAAGGATTCGCCGTCATTTTCTGCATGAAATCTACAGAAAATATATGGCGGTTGACTCGCTCATCTTTTTCCTTTTGATCTCCAACGAATGCCTTTGCCACCATAGTCATAAACTGAAATTGCAAATACAAACAAATTACAACTCCTTAGCATGCAATAACTCATTCTGATATTAACTATCTACATGTGACTCACCTTGTCGTTTATCCATCTTCTACGTTGGAGACATTGCAACTCACCACAGCTTAGGAAGTATCCATACATTGATACAAAGTATCTAACACAAATGAAACAATTACGAAGTTAGTAAATTCAGTAAATTCTATAACATAATATAAAATTGGTCACCAAAACATAATACTTACTTACTGCTCTTGCTCCTCTTGATTACACCTTACTGT